GGGCAGGCAGGCTCCCGGTGCCCCGACGTGAGGGGAAGAATAACGGTTACTGTGCCGGAGAAGGGAGGGCTAGTGGCCAAGGTGTGAGGATCGGGAGGACTCCTGCGTGTGAGGAGCTTCCACTGTGCGTGTGAGGAGCTTCCACTGTGCGTGTGGGGAACGTCCACTGTGCGTGTGGGGAGCTTCCACTGTGCGTGTGGGGAACGTCCACTGTGCGTGTGAGGAGCTTCCACTGTGCGTGTGGGGAGCTTCCACTGTGCGTGTGGGGAGCTTCCACTGTGCGTGTGGGGAGCTTCCACTGTGCGTGTGGGGAACGTCCACTGTGCGTGTGGGGAGCTTCCACTGTGCGTGTGAGGAGCTTCCACTGTGCGTGTGAGGAGCTTCCACTGTGCGTGTGAGGAGCTTCCACTGTGCGTGTGGGGAACGTCCACTGTGCGTGTGGGGAGCTTCCACTGTGCGTGTGAGGAGCTTCCACTGTCTGTGAGGGGGTGGGGTAGAACCCAGGCCGTTACACTAGGAGGACTGCTCCTGCTCCCTATGTAGAGAGCTGAAATAGGCGGGCTACCAGCTCCAACGCATCCCTGAGCAGAGGGGCGGGGGGAGGAGGAGGAGCCAGAGGAGAGGAGAGGGCTCCTAGCTTAAGCGCTGGTGAGGGGTGCTCCCTGGTGTAAGGAGTCTGGAGGGGACCGCTAGTGTCCTAGCAGGTGTGGGCGCGTGTGTCGTGAACTCGGAGGGCCTCTTGCCTCTGGACCACAGGGGAAGAGGACTGGCTGCCAGCATGGGAGGGGAGGGGGACCATTTTGGGGGCCGGGAGGGGGGCTCTCCTGTGTGAGGAGGCCAGAGGGGAAGACTAACGTCGAAGCCGGTGGGGGCGCCCTGCTAGAGGCCAGCGCCACCGCTGGGAGCAAGGCACAGCATGGGACCGCGCTTTGCAGGGCGGGAGAGGGTGGCGCCCCCTGCGTCCAGGAAGGGAATGATCTGGAATGTAGAGCCACTGGCTGAGGGTGGGAGAGGAGCCGCCTGGCTGGTGGGGAGCAGGTGACAGTGAGAGCGGGGCATACTGGGGTTGCTGTGATCTGTTGGAGGCTATTGGATATTGCAATTGGAGTGAAGGGGACGGTTTAGGGTGGGGCACTACAGTTGGAACCGGTCACCTGTTAGGGGTGACATAGGGATGGCAGTGTCAGGAGGGGAAAGACCTTGGCCTATACAGAAAATATATATTCTATACAAGGGTGCTTTTTACACCATACATCCGGTCATAAAAATTTTTCCAAAAATTTAAAAGGATCGGACTTTTGCCTTGGCCGGTTTTTGCTCAGTGGTTAGAACGTCCATGCACACACCGGTCTCAGGTTTGATTCCCAGTCGATTGCACGTACCTGAGTTGTAGGTTCGATCAGGCCCCAGTTGGGGCATGTGCAGGAGGCAGGCAACCAATCGATGTGTCTCTCTCACTTTGATATTTCTCTGTCTCTCTCTCTCTCCCCCCTTCTTCCCTTCCATTCTCTAAAAAAAAATATCAATGGAAAAATATCCTTAGGTGAGGATTAAGAAAATAAATAAATAAAAAGGATTGCACGTTTACTTAATAAGTTCTCATTTTATTTGAAACTCATTTTATTTGAAATAATTTTGAATTTTATTTGAAATTAATAATGATAACATATCCCTAAATATTTGGAAATCCATGGATCAAAGAAAATCACACAGGAACTTAGAAAATATTTTGTGCCAAATATTTTAAGAAGGAAAAAAATACAACTCACCAAAATTAGTGGAAGGCAACTACAGAAATAATCAGAGGAAAATGTATTGCTCTAAATGCTTACATTACAAAAGAAGACAGGTATACAGCCAACGACCTAATGGTCCATTTAAAGAAGCTAGAAAAAGAAGAGTAAAGTAAATGTAAAATGAATTCACTGAAAAAAACAATAGGGCTGCTCTGGCAGGGTGCTCAGTTGGTTGGAGTGTCCTCCCATGCACCAAAAGTGTGTGAGTTTGATTTCCAGTCAGGGCACATACCTAGGTTGCAGATTCAATCCCAAGTTGGGACCCATATGGGAGGCAACCAATCAATGTTTCTCTCGCACATTGACATTTCTCTCTCTTTCTCTTTGTCTAAAAAAAAATCAATTAACATATCCTTGGGTGAGGATTAAAAAATAATAATAGGGCTAAGAGAGAAAATCAGTGGCAGAAAGCAAATTATAGAGACAATTAACAGAGCCATATCTTGGTTCTTTTAAAAGAGCAATGAAACTGACAAAGCCCTAGCAAGACTAATCAGGAAAAAAGAGAAAGAGCACTAATCACTGATACCAGGAATGAAAGAAGGTTACCACTACAAATCAAATAGACATTAAAAAGAGAATGAGAGTAGCCCAGGCAGGTTTGGCTCAGCAGTTAGAGCGTTGGCCTGTGGTCCAGAGAGACCCGAGACCCGGGTTCAGTTCCTGCTAAGGGCACATACTCGGTTGCAGTTTGTCCCCAACCCTGGTTTGGTCGTGTGGGTGGCAACCACTCGTGTCCCTTTCACGTCAATGTTTCTCTCTCTCTCCCTCCTACTCTACCTGAACAAAAAATGTCCTCGGGTGAGGATAAAAAAAAAAAGAGAGAATGAGGGAATATTATGAAAAAAATTATGCCCCAAAATAGAAAATTTGACAAATTCCTTGGAGAAAAGGTGACTTCTTAAAACTGATGCCAGGAAAAAACAAAGAAAAGAAAAAGAAATGAGTAGCATTATCTTTTTGTTATTGTTGACAGTATTACAGATGTCCCCCATTACTCCCTGCTTGACCCCCTTCCGCTTACCCCAGGCCTTCACCACACTATTGTCTGTGTCCATGGGCTATGCATATATACATTTCTTTAATTTCTTCCCATTCCCCCACGCCCCTTCCCTCTGAGATCTGTCAGTCTGTTTCATACATTCATGTCTCTGGGCCTATTTTGCTAGTTAGTTTATTTTGTTCATTCTATTCCACATATAAGTGAGATCATATGTTATTTGTCTTTCTCTGATTGGTTTATTTAGCTTAGCATAGTAATCTCCAGGTCCATCCATGCTATTGCAAAGGGTAAGGGCCCCTTCTTTTTTAAAGCGGCATAGTATTCCATTGTGTAAATGTACCATAGTTTTTTTTTGTTTGTTTGTTTTTATCCACTCATTTACTGATGGGCAACGGGGCTGTTTCCAGATCTTAGCTATTGTAAATAACACTGCTATGAATGTAGGGGTGCATATATTCGTTCTGATTGGTGTTTTGGGATTCTTAGGATACATTCCCAGAAGTGTATTGCTGGGTCAAATGGCAGTTCCATTTAAAAAATTTTAAAATAGGTTTTTATTGATTTCAGAGAGAGGAAAGGAGAGGAAGAGAGAGATTAGAAACATTGATGAGAGGGAAACATAGATTGGCTGCCTCCTGCATGCTTCCTACTGGGGATCAAGTTTGCAACCCAGGCATGTGCCCTGACTGGGAATTGAACCTGTGACCTCCTGGTGCATGGGATGAAGCTCAACCAACTAAGCCACACCAGCTGTGCCCATTTTTAACTTTTTGAGGAAACTCTGTACTGTTTTCCATAGTGGCTGCACCAATCTGCATTCCCACCAGCAGTGCACTAGGGTTCCCTTTTCTCCACACCCTCAACCAGCACTTTTATTGATGGTAGCCATTTTGGCAGGTGTGAGATGATACCGCATTGTAGTTTTAATTTGCATCTCTCTGATGATTAGTGACGTTAAACATTTTTCCATGTCCATTGGCCATCTGTATGTTGTCTTTGGAGAAGTGTCTATTGCCCATTTTTTAATTGGATTGTTTGTCTTCCTGATGTTGAGGTGTATGAGTTGTTTACATATTTTGGAAATTAACCCAATATCAGATGTATCATTGGCGAATATATTTTCCCACGTGTGGGTTCCCTTTTCATTTTGTTGATGGTTTCTTTTGCTGTGCAGAAGCTTTTTAGTTTGATGTAATCCCCTTGGTTAATTTTTTCCTTTGTTTCTCTTGCTCTAGGAGATGTATTGGCGAAAATAGTGCTACGTGAGATGTCTGAAATTTTACTGCCTATGTTTTCTTCTAGGATTTTTATGGTTTTGTGGCTTATATTTAAGTCTTTTATCCATTTTGAGTTTATTCTTGTGTATGGTGTAAGTTGGTGATCTAGTTTCTTTTTTTTGCATGTACCTGTCCAATTTTTCCAACACCATTTATGGAAGAGATTATCTTTACTCCATTGTATGCTCTTGCCTCCTTTGTCAAGTATTATTTGACCATATTGGCAAGGGTCGATTTCTGGGTTCTTTGTTCTGTTCCATTGCTCTCTATGCCTGTTCTTGTGCCAGTACCAGGCTGTTTGGATTACAGTGGCTTCGTAGTATAGTGTGATATCCACTATTGTGATCCCTGCAACTTTGTTCTTCTTTCTCAAGATTGCTGAGGCTATTCGGGGTCTTTTTTGGTTCCATATAAATTTTTGGAATATTTGTTCTGGATCTGTGAAATACATCATTGGTATTTTAATAGGGATTGTGTTGAATCTATAGATTGCTTTGGGTAGTGGGGACATTTTAATAATGTTAATTCTTGCAATCTGTGAACATGGTTTGTATCTACTGTCCTTTAGCTGAGATCCAAGTCTTCTGGTCATCTTCAGCTCGCTTGGTGAACAGCCTTTCAGCTCCACTACTGTCAGCCAACCCCACCGCTCACTTCCATTTCCGGGGCACGACTAGCATTATATCTTGTAAGTTTACTATTTTCAAAAAAGTTTCCTAAAATCAAACAAACAAAACAGGGAGAGGAGGTGCTCCAGGCCTCTGCTGGGAGGGTCATGGGGCTCTGGCTGGGAAGTGGGATGGGCTGTGTGATATGAATATTATTCTCTCCCCTTTGCACCCACAGGACAAGGAGAGCACTGTGATAACCTGCATACCCCTGTCCAGTCACTTCTCCCCATCCCTCAGGTCTTCAGTGATGGCGATGGCACTGGCAATACTACAGGACTGGTGCGGCCTGATGGCTGTGAACGCACAGCGCTCCCTGCTCATCCTGGGCATCCCAGAGGACTGTGAGGACCAGGAATTCCAGGAGTCTGTGCAGGCTGCCCTGAGACACCTGGGCAGGTACCGAGTACAGGGCAAGATCTTCAGAAGGGAGCTCCAATCCAGGGTTGCCTTGATTGAGTTCACTGAGTATTTAAACCGAAGTTTGATCCCCCGACAAATACCAGGCAGGGGGGGACCCTGGACTGTGGTCTTCCTGCCCCAGGTCCCTGATACTGAGTCACAGGATAGACCTGATTTCCTTGCACAGCCTCAGAGGCAAGCAGTGGCTGGCAGGGTAGGTGAGGAAGGTGCAGATGAGGCAGGACCTGCAGGTGAGGCAAAATCCTCTGATGAAGCAGAAGCTGAAGGTTTGGCAGGAGCTCCAGGTGAGGAGGGAGTTAAAGGTGAGACTGGAGCTGCAGGTGAGGGAGGTGCAGGTGAGGATAAAGCTGCAGGTGAGGAGGGAATTAAAGGTGAGACTGGAGCTGCAGGTGAGGATAAAGCTGCAGGTGAGGAGGGAATTAAAGGTGAGACTGGAGCTGCAGGTGAGGATAAAGCTGCAGGTGAGGAGGGAATTAAAGGTGAGACTGGAGCTGCAGGTGAGGATAAAGCTGCAGGTGAGGAGGGAGTTAAAGGTGAGGACTGGAGCTGCAGGTGAGGATAAAGCTGCAGGTGAGGAGGGAGTTAAAGGTGAGACTGGAGCTGCAGGTGAGGGAGGTGCAGGTGAGGATAAAGCTGCAGGTGAGGAGGGAGTTAAAGGTGAGACTGGAGCTGCAGGTGAGGATAAAGCTGCAGGTGAGGAGGGAGTTAAAGGTGAGACTGGAGCTGCAGGTGAGGATAAAGCTGCAGGTGAGGAGGGAATTAAAGGTGAGACTGGAGCTGCAGGTGACGAGGGAGAGGCAGATGAAGAAACTGCAAGTGGGGAAGAAGCTGCAAGTGAGGAAGAAACTGCAGGTGAGGAAGAAACTGCAAGTGAGGAAGAAGCTGCAGGTGAGGAAGAAGCTGCAGGTGAGGAAGAAGCTGCAGTTGATATAGCTGCAGGTGAGGAAGGAGCTGCAGGTGAAGATGAAGCTGCAGGTGAGGTAGGAGCTGAAGGTGAAGCAGGAGGGTCAGATGAGGAGGGAGCTTCAGGTGACACAGGAATTGCAGGTATGCCAGGATCTGTGAGTATGGCAGGAGCCGCAGGTGAGGCAGGAGGTCCAGGTGAGGAAGCTGTAGGTATGGCAGGAGCCCCAGGACAAGCAGGAGCTTGGAACCAGCAATGGAGACAGGCCTTGCAGCCTATGCTAGAAAATATGGCCTACCAGGAACTGAGAGCCTTTTCTGGGATGGAAGAGCCAGGCCAGGAGAATGAGTCCTTTGAGAGCTGGCTGGACCATGCCAACGACATGCTGTACCTGTGGCGCCACATATCAGAAAGGGAGAGGAGGAGGAGGCTGGTGGAGAGCTTGAATGGTCCCGCACTTGATCTCGTGAGTGGCCTCCTGAATGAAAACCCTGACATCCCTGCGCAGGACTGCCTGGCTGCTCTGATTCAGGTGTTTGGGAAGAAGGACAACCAAACAACTGCGCGGCTGAAGTTCGTGACTTGTGCCCAGCGGCCCCAGGAAACCCTCTTTGCCTATGTGATGCGCCTGGAAGGCCTGCTGCAGGCAGCCATGGAGAAGGGGGCCATCCATCCCTCCACAGCAGACCAAGTACGTGCCCGGCAGGTGCTGATGCGGGCCCGCCCCAACGAGATGCTCTGGAACAAGCTGAGGAGAATGCGGCTGGAGAGGAGACCTCCTGGCTTCCTGGGGATGCTTCAGCTGATTCGGGAGTCGGAGGCATGGGAGGCCACTTCAACTACGAGCCAGCAGTATCAAGTGCAACAAGGGGCCTGTGTGGGCATTGGAGACCTGGCTGCTGTCCAGGCCGCCCCAGCCCATGAAGATGCTGCCCAGGCCGCCCCAGCCCATGAAGATGCTGCCCAGGCCGCCCCAGCCCATGAAGATGCTGCCCAGGCCGCCCCAGCCCATGAGGATGCTGCCCAGGCCGCCCCAGCCCATGAGGATGCTGCCCAGGCTGCCCCAGCCCATGAGGATGCTGCCCAGGCCGCCCCAGCCCATGAAGATGCTGCCCAGGCCGCCCCAGCCCATGAAGATGCTACCCAGGCCGCCCCAGCCCATGAGGATGCTGCCCAGGCCGCCCCAGCCCATGAGGATGCTGCCCAAGCTGCCCTTTCCAAGGAAGATTGTGCCGAGGCCTCTCTGGCCAATGCAGGGGCCATCGAGGCAGGTCCTGCCACTGCCAGTCCCAAGGAGGCTGCTCCTGAAACCCGTGATGCCACTGGGGCAGACCCTGCCCCCAAGAAGACCACCAAGGCCTCCCCTGCCACTCAGGGAGAAGAAAATGCTCTCGCTCTTGCAGGCCTAGGTCAGGCAGGATCCTCACCTGCCCACGTGGGCAGTGCTTTCGGGGTGGGCCCGGGAGGTCCTGGCAGTGATCCAGAGGGCCTGGCCCAGGAAGGAGGTCAGGAGGTTGAGGAGCCCCATGAAGAGGGGCTCAAGTCCATCCCAGAGGAGTCAGAAAGGGAGGACAGGGCTGGGGAGATGAGTCCCCCTGAGCCCTCCTGTGGCATATAGGCTTGGAAGGCCCAGAGGCCTCCTGTTTTCTCAGGCAGCAGAGCCCTGGAGGCAGGGGAAGGCCAGGCCAGAGCAGCCTCCTCACCACATGGGGCACAGGGCCCAGCAAAGGGTCTGCCCAGCCCAAAGCAAGACCCTGTGCTCCCCATTACTCCTAAGGGGCCCTGACCACCATCATCAGCCCTTCCAAGCCACCAATATGACCATCTGTAACACCAATGGGATGGGAAGAGGTGCCCCCTCATAGTATCACCACATCCGGCCCCTGCCTACTGGGGCAGCCACCTTGGGAGCACCCCTGAGCAGCCAGTCCCAGCCCAAGAGAGGGGCCCCTGAACACGTCTGCCACCTGCGCTGGACTGGGAGACTTTAGGGGCCATCTCAAGGGTGTCAGTCTCTGGGACCCCCATCCTATATCCCCGGGGGAGCCCCCACTCTGTTTCTCTGTAGGTCTCATGCTGACTCACGTGTCAAATAATCACACCCCTCCCCACCACACACACACATTAGCCGTGGTCCTTGTGCAGAACGGCCAGGTGTGTGTGAACCCCGTGGGTGTCCTGACCTACCTCCCGGGGCAGCCGCCTCTCAGCCCGGTAGGTGCTGTGAGCTGCACAGACAGCCAAGGCTCTGCCAGCTCTCGTCCAGAGCCGTGAGCTCAACCTCTGCTTTCTCGGTGTAGATTTAGGCCAACCGCTGCTTGTTCATGTGGAGATGTGTGTTTTTCTCTGAGAAGTTTCCTCCCCCCAACCTCACAAACACCCCTCATCTCGGAGATCCTGTGCCCAGTCCCAGAAGAGGGCAGGAAGGACGGATGAGGGCGTGGCCAGCACTCAATCAGTGAACTTGGGAAGGAAGAAGTGAACCAGGACAGAAAGTCATTGCTGGAGGCTCCAACGGGACTGTGCTCTGATATGCCACCCTGTTTCTTGTGACTCAGTTTCCTCAGCTTGATGGAATGTCCCCTGCTGTATTTTCCAGTGTCTTGTGTCTGTCCTGTGCAGGTCGCAGGGCAGGGCCAGGCCCCAGCATGTTGTTCAGAGGGGGAGGGGAGCCCTGCAGCGAGTGGACATCGCCGGTGTCCTTAGTCCTGCAAAGCCGATCGTGGGGCTCTCAGGGAGGGGAAGTATGGTGGGAAGGTTGTGGTGTCGAGGGACAGCTGAGGCACCTGGTCAGGGATCCCAGGAGGATGGGGGTCGTGACCTGTGGCCTCTAGTGGTCATTAGAAGCCCCTCTTTGTTTTGTCATTCCCTCTGTTTAATGGTTTCAGTAAATGTTTCTTTTCAATAAATTTCATTCAATGTTTAAGCTGAGTTTTGCCACGGGCAATTGAATGAAGGGTCTGCTGGGGTTGCGGCTGGGGGTCAGAAAAGGATTTCTGCTTAGCACCTATGGGAGACTTTTCCAGGGAGAGGGTAGGGTAGATACATGGGAGTTTTTGTTACATTTAATAGGTGAATTACAAAGTTTTGGGGTCCATTTGTTCTTGTCTTGGGATGATCCTGTCCCCTTGGTCTTTTGAAAATGGGTAAGGGTAATCCTGATTTTCTCCTTGACTGGAGGGAAGGAGCCATTGGCATCCAGTGCCTGAGATTCAGAACTGCTGAGTGTGTGTGACGTGTGGAGTGAGGCCATGGAACAAAGAACTCACTCCCCAAAGGCCCATAGCATCATTGGTGAGAAACTAGTATTAGACTGATAAGACTTTTGTAAAAACCCCAAGTATATTTTTTTTAAATATGTTTTTATTTTTTAAATTTTTTAATTTTTAATTTTTTTTTAGAGATAGAGGAAGGGAGAGATAGAAACATTGATGTGAGAGAGAACCATCAATCGGCTGCCTCCTGCACGTCCCCCACTGGGGATCAAGCCTGCAACCCAGACATGTGCCCTGACCGGGAATCGAACAGGGACCTCTCAGTCTGTGGGATGATGCTCAATTCACTGAGCCACACCGGCCAGGCCCCAAGTGTATTTTAATCTGAGGTACCATAAAATATCACCATGGAATAACAATGGTAGCACTTACCGAGCAACTCAAGATCTCTAGACACTTTTGGGGTTTCTGGGAGAATGGGCAGTAACATATCCATAGCACCTCCACCTGCAAAAAGACTTGCTCTCAAGGACAAGAAAAGACTAGGTTAGTGAGCTGCACAATGGAGGGGCCCGGGGAGGCGTTGCTCTCTGAAGGGGTAACATTCAGGGGTGGCAGGTCAGGATTCATGCTAAAGGCAGTGGGAAGCTGTTGCACCATTTAGTTGGGCCCACTGGATACTGCTCATTTGTTCTGTTTCCAGAAATTGCCACTTTATGAGGCTGAGCCTCATCTCCCATGAGAGGAGCTGAAAATGCCTGGTCTGTGTGCTCCCAGCTTTTCTTGCAGCTAGGGTATGGGCACGTGACCAGGATACGTCAATCAGATGCACCTGCTGCCAATTGACTCTGGGCCCAGAAGTGGGAAGAAGCAGGACCACACAGATTCTACTTGGGTGGTGGGTGGCAGCAGAGGCAGTGAGACTTGTTACCTGAGGAGCAGTGATAGCCACTGTTCTCCTGGCAGCACCCAAGTCCCACATTGGTGGTGAAAACCAGTGTTCGTTCCTAGTCATTGGAGGGAGCCAGCCCAGCAATTTGCCATGATGCAGACCCTTGTTCCTCCAAGCTTGGCTCTCAAACCCTCCCCAAACATCCATGAGCCGCCTACCATCCTTCAGCTAATTCCCTTGGAACTTCCAGAAGCCACAATGAGATGTGATGGCTAAAGACGGGGGGTACAAGAGTCTTCCAATGACACTCACCAAAAGAGCACCCACCCCAAACAGGAGTAAATATCTGCACTGCAACTTCTGCTGGGTGGCTGGGATTTGGGAATGCCATGCCTGATGCCTCCGGGGCAGGTCTGAGGGAAAGCAGGTCCCTGGAACTTAAGGTGTAGGGCCCTGGGGGGACAGGGTCAGGGTGGATAGGCTTTTGCCTCTTTTCTCTTGAAATTGGGTGCTGTGGCTGAAGTCTTGGGGGAGCTAATCTGGTGGAGAGAGGGGAGCCCCCACTCTGGGGTGAGCAGCAGAGCACATCTGCCAACTGGGTGCACCTGGTCAAGGACAGAAAGGAGCCTGTGGAAGGGCGGGGAGAGGCCCTGGGATTAGGGGGGTGGGGCTCTGGACAAAGCTTGTGTGTGTGTGTGTGTGTGTGTGTGAGAGAGAGAGAGAGAGAGAGAGAGAGAGAGAGAGAGAGAGAGAGAGAGAATTGGGCAAGGTGGTTTCTCTCAGTCTGCATCTCTTCTGACCGGAACCTGAGACTTCCAGTGGCTTCCCTCTTCTCCAGGAACTGAGGAAGAACACCTACGCCAGTGCCAGCCAACTCGGGCTAGAGCAGACTGGTTGCTGGGGGAGCCCCTGTCCCCATTCCCCACAGCTCATGTTTCAGATGGGATGGTCAGAGACATCCCCACAGGCCTTGACAGTGCTTTTCACATTTCCTCCTCTTATGTTTTCTGTCCAGCTTGCAGTCCAAGTTCATGTCAGTTTAGCCCCCCCTGTCCCTGCTTGTAGCCCAGGGCAGCTGGCAGAGTCCTGAGGAGTGGGGAGCCCCTCCACCCCATTTGCTATGTCTTTCCAGCCAGCAGGGCCAGATTCACAGCTGGCACAGGGAGTAGCGACTCAGTGGATGGCCTTCCCTGAAGCCTGGTACAGACTCTGTTGGCACCCTATCCCAGCCCCATGCCCATTTCCAGCCCAGCCCAGCTCCTATCTACAGAAGGAGAGATAATATTCACCAAATGACCACTGGGACTCCACTACATAATGGTCCCCCCAAAATGACAGAGGCCAGTTGGCTGCTGGGGGAGGGGCAACTTGATTCCTACGCCTTAGGAGGCACTTGGGACTTGGCTTTCAACACTTCCCTGACAAGGGCTTGCTTTAGGGGCCTGAGTCTTATTCTGTGAACACATTCCATTCCGATGGCCACACCGGACTTTGGGGGACAAGTCTACCAGAGCAGGGCTCCAGAGACTCTCCTAGCTGCCAGGTCCCCATGGAGCCAATGACTTCTGGGTGAGCAGGGATTTGGGCTTATGTGGCCTTGGGAGAGAGCTTAGTGAACCTGTGCCCCAGTGGCCACCTTGCAGGCCCCAGAGCCCAGTCTTTCCGAAGGTTTAGGGCTGTAGAAGCAGCACTAGCCAGCTCGCGTAATGGACAGCTCACATAATTACACATCATTGTGTAAGTTGCCTCTTTTTCCATCTGGCACATTCCAGATTCCTGGGACCCTGGCAGACTCTGCCAAGGGGGCTACATCAGGAACTCGTGCTCAGCTGACTACAAATACTGTTGCAGGGGCGGTGACTCCTGGCCGTGCTCTCCAAGTTGCCAGCCCAGGCAGTTTCCCCTCCAGCCCTGCCCACCAGTGCCCATGGGGACAGGTGCCCACAGGGCTGTGGGGAACTTGGGGAACTGAGGGCACATGTGTGCCTCTGAAGCATAAGGTGGATGTCCCCAGGTGCACATAGAGGGGCAGTGGAGCAGGACTGAGGAAGCAGGAAGGCACCCCAGGGAAGGGACCGCACATGTGAAGCGTACTGTGTGCACTGGGTAAGCTGAAACTTCTCCCAGAATTTCCTTCCCTTTATGGTCCCAGGCTTAGGTGGGTCACAGGAGAAATTTTCTTGAGATTTGGAAGTGGAAATAAAAATGTATTTTTATTTTTTTAATGCTCAGAAGGTCAGACTAGCACAGTGTCATTGATCTGTTGTCTTGACTCACCTGCTGCTGCCACCAAATCACTTCCTTCTGTTTCTCCAAGTTTTGGGCCCGCTCAGGTGCAGTTCCATGGGGATAGACAGCCATCTCCTGCAGGCCACTGCATCATCCAGATTTGAGGTGGTGGGACACATACATGGCTCTCAGTTCATGCTTACCCCACCGCTCCGCTTCTCAGCTGTCTGCGTCCCTTGGGCCAGCCCTGCTGACTGCAGGCCCAGAAGCAGCAGTTCCCTG